ATCAGCAGCAACATGAAAGATCAGCAGCAACATGAAAGATCAGCAGCGACATGATATGATTTTTCACAGTGATTATCCTGGTTAGATGAAACAACTTTTAAAAAGATTAACTAATCAAATTCAAAAAACAATAACCTTTTTTTTTCAATATTTTCTTTTTAAGTAGCCTTTTAATTGAGGTAAGAATTCAAGTTGAGAACATGTGCTGCTAAGAGCTGCTGCATGAAGCAAAAAACAAGTTTTACCCAAAAAAAATCACCCATAACTGAGCCTCGAGATCAGAAGCTTTTGTTTTTCCAGCTTTCGAAGCCTCGGTGAAAAGTCAGCGACCAAACTGAGTTCAGATCACGAACTGAACTGCAAGGGAAAATTATTTGTTTTCTGCTGTAACTGGAACAGCCAAGTTTGACTTGCAGGAACTCAGCCAGAAGCTTATGAGAGCAACTTGTATTACAGAAAAATCCAAATACGTCTGTTCTGTGGGTGTAGCACGGTCTGGAACTTGTTAAGTGGATCTGGTCAAGTAATGTCAGATTTTAACAGCGATTCACATGGATTGGCCTTGCTGGCATCCTGAAGGCCCATAAAATCTGATTCATCGCCCCTATCGCTTGCAGAGGGCATGCAGACGGCAGGAAAAGAGCAGCTCTCAGGTATGCTAAAGTCATCCATGATGGGATCTGTCAACTCTGCAAATGGCTCCTTCTCGCCCTGCTGCCTTGCACGTTTTATCAGCTGAAGGAGTCAATGACAGAATGTCTATTGAACTCTGACTGTCTCCACATACAAATTATTTCTTTCCGTTGAGAAACATTTCTGTTAGAAGGAAGCTCAATTAGGAGTTAAATTTGAGTCTGGCTGACATCAACAAATAGAACTAAGCAGGTAATCATATATGTCTACAAGATCTACCAGGAGTATCCCTATTTACCAGTTAAGATCTTCTTTTTCACTTTCCCTCCGGTAATCAAAATCATATTGGGAAATTCTATTTGTTGCAAGACTGCTGACAACCCTTGAGAATGAAAAATACAATTTAATAATTTGCTGCTGCAGACACATCTTCGAGCACAGCAGGCTGTGTGTGCAGAAGACAACGGGTGGGCTTTAGAAGCATTATTGATGCTATTGGATCATCATTTGAGTGACAGATAACAAGCTCAGACGCTCCCCAAAATTTTCCCAGGATGAATACGGAGCGCTTCATGCTAGTTAGCAGATTGGTTTATTTCACATCATTAAAAAAACATTACCTTGGCTGAAAATGTGTAAACACTGTTTGATTGATTGAAACGGTGCAAATCGTTATCAGCAAATCTTTAAAACACTTTATTTTGGTGAGTTGACTAATGTATTCATAGTTTCTTTAAATAAATGAAATACTCCTTCCTTATTTGTTCTCTAAAAAAGACGTTTTCATCTCAGACTTAATTTGCTTATACAGTACTTTGTTGTGTATTTCAAGGTTGTTTGCTCGTCATAAGAAAACCCCCAAAAGGTACAGAAGCACATAGATTTATGTTTTTATCCCCAGAAAGTCTACCTCTGTCTATTCTGTGGTGCATAATGGAGTACTGGTGTGCAGAAGAGGCATACCAGATGTTCGGGCTACCTCCTTACATTTTGTTTCCCTGCACTGGTGCAATTTCATATTGATGAGCTCTGCAGCAATTCAAATTGCATGTCTTCTTTAAACATTAAAGCAGCAAAGAGAGGAATCACAGTTGTTGCTCAAATTCTGCCATAGTTGAAAATCAGAAATGCCATTGCCGTGCAAGAAAAATCTGACAAAACACATGCACAGTTCAGATATTTCACCCTACAACAGCACAGGAGACTTTGTCTTGTGAGCGTGACTATGGCACAGTGGGGATGAAAATGCAACCCCTCCACATGATGCATTCTTTGAAATGTAGTTTCTACCAAAGATCAATAGTAATACTGAATTGTAATTTCACAATCAGTTTCAGTTTAAGATAGAAACTTGCTCTTGAGAATTTGGCTTGTTGCATATGTTTACCTGGTGCAAAATGCATGAAAGAGGAGTGAGTGGCTTAACATAGTTTTTTTCTTGTCCCTCCTGATTACAGTTTTATATGAATTTCTGTTTTGTTTTTTCCAAACAAAATAAGGTATATGCATTCTTTCAGAAATATACTCTTCATTGTTATCGATTTGCTATTCCCTCATCATATGTAGAACAACAATGTACCAGTAAATGAACTGAATAGGTTAAAATCAGAGTATTTGTCTGGATAAAGTAAAGACTATTTTTTATTTGGGTTTGAGGGTAAATGGTCTGATATATTCTTGAATGAGGAGTCCATTCTGGTTACCTTATGAGATGAGGTAAATTGGTGAAATAAGAAAATAGACACGGTCTGATCTCTGTTTTTCCCCCACATTTCTAGCTTAGAAAATTCCCATTCTGGATGTTCCCAAGGAAGCTGCTTAAAAATGATAATCCAGAGGAGGAAGAGGGAATCTCCACTGACTTGCCTCAAGCCTGTTTCAGCCCTATTAAGAAATATTAAGAAGCTTTCCAAAGAAACCTAAACTCCAGCCCTAAACTCTGCATGCTCTGAATCCTGCTACCCTTCGCCTGACAGTATAAGACAATCCCAAAGCTCCTGACAAATTTGTAAGTTAAATAGTTTTTTGTATTTATCTTTATTATTATTGACATTTCTTGGTAAACGATTTTTGATTTCTATCGACAGCTGCTAAAAGCTGGGTTATGTTGTTTTTGCCATGTTGTGTCCCTATCTGTTAGCAAAACATCTCATGAACCACTGATTTGAATTAAATGAATCTCTCAGAATGTGATCATTGGATGTACCGATTCTTTTCGAGTCAACCCTACTCAACATGACACTAAAACACCAAAATGGCTATAACTCGGTCAAATTTCCAGATATTACTCAATGTTTGTGATATAGGTGATTAGAGTCAATCCCCAACACATATCCCATGTACTGTATGTATATTGTTTTGCATTATATTTTGCATGCAATTTTAGCTTAAATCTTTGGTATTATCAAAAAATACCAGAAATTATGCAATCAAGTTTCCCACATTTGGGGAATTCCAAGGGGTCAGCACAATCGGAGTGCAATGGCTGAGCCTCACCCTGGGTGAATCACCTTCATAATCATGGTATCTCCCCTGCCAGGTAAATATAGCGTATATCTTAGATCTATTAGCATATCGTTTAGCGTAACAGTGTGTATCTTATGTCCTTTTATACTGTTTCTTTTTATATTTTATAATTTTGCTATTTTGGGGTGTAACTGGGGCCTTGAGTACATCACTCATGTACCACGTGTGATACAAATGACAATAAAGAACCTTGAACTTGAAAAGTCAACCCTATTAGTCTGTTTGTATGCTAGCAAAGTACTAAAAAAGCAGACTTTAAAGAAACACTCAGAATGTATTCACTGGGTGTGACAAACTAACCCTACTGAGCTCAAATTTGGTGTAGCCGAGAATCATTCCCAACACATACTGTCCTTCACCATCTCATGATAATGCATGGGACTTTGTATAACATTATTTTCATGATTCAACCAAAACGACTCCAACTTTGATATGCATTTCAATGCTAGAACTTTTTGCTTTGGGGCCTGGATGCTGAAAATTTCAAACTTTGCCTCTAAGGTTTCCCACTACACTACAGTAAATTACAAAACAGTGCCACAGAAAAAAATATATGTTCTGTCGGTCTTCCAGCTGGATCATATATGTGAGACAGCCTTGGGCAACCTGTGAAACTCTGGGTTAGAATGTATTGCAGACATGTGCTTTATCATTAGGTATTTTGGTGCTCTTACAGCATACATGGTCCTTTTGTTAGCTTTCTTGCATTTGGCTCCCACTGTATGTTGGGAAATTACATTTTTATGTGGCAAACTGAAACTAAAGGATGGCCCCACTTCTGCTATCAATCACTGATTCTTTATGGTTTACCCTCATCCACTTTTACTGTAGCTACAATATTTTATAATTACTGTCAGTGGAACTGTATGAGTTGCTGTGAACAGACATTAAAGTCTAGCATCCTATTCCATCTTTTTGATGAGGTAAAGGTGGAAAAAAAGAAGAAACTTCAGTTCAAAACTTTAGTTGTAAAAGCCTTTCTGCTATCTGGAGGCTTGTGTAGCTTTTAGAATCTGATTTGATGCACTAACATTGTGAGTCTTTATAAGCTCTACAAACACTAAGCGAGGCGAAAGGAGCTGTCCAGAGCCATATGGTCAGTCATATATTTTTGGAACCGGTTTGGTTTAAACACAGTGCTTTGTCAATACTCATCAAGGCTAAAATCTTTATAGTACATGCAGTGTTCAACACCTCCTTTAAAGACGGCCTCTCCTGTGGCGTATATGTCAATTTGTCTGGTGATTTATTTGTTGGCTGACTGAACTGGTATCACCTAACTCATTCAGGTAGCAAGAGTGTGTGTTGGTGTGAGTCATGAAGAGAGAGAATAGGAGAGAGGCTATACAATGCAATCATACTTGGCCCGCTTCCACTCACGCTGTAATGGGAAAAGCAGCGTGCAAGCATAACTCTCCTGAGAAAACAAGGAAAGATGAGAAAATAAGTGGGTCAAGCAAAAGGCGTGAGGGGCAGGACTGGCAAAGAGGACCCCACTGAAATCAATGCAGATCTCAAGGCTTGCTTTGGTTGGATATCGAACAACAGGAAAGTGTGCTGTGGTGGTAAATGACAGGCTAAAAGCTAGAGGTGTCCCGTCTGAGTTTGATTACCTCATCCCCAAGGCATTCTTCGTCATCATATCTTGTGAGATAAGTATCATAATAGTTGTGTATTTTTGCAGTTACAGTAAATGTTAACCAAATTGTCGGCCATTACAGCTCCCGTCTCCCGGGATTG